CTGGCTCACAGTGCTCTCTTCCCTGCGTCGTGGGCCTGTCAGTGTGCGTGCGTGCGTGGGTGAGAGAGAGAGCAGGAGCCGTCAATAAAATGGCCAGTCGCCCTCCTCGGCTCTGCCTGCTTTTTCTCTTCTTCTCTTCTTTACAACTAAATTGGAGATGATGAGACCGCTTTCAAAACTCGCATACTGCTCGTTCCGCCTCACGGCCGGGAGCATGCTGACATGTCCCGGCACACCTCACCACCTTTGCAGGGACATTTCTGAAGCAATCTGATCCAATCCATGTTGTTCGTGCTTTCGTGGTCTCTTTTTGGCTACCTCCAACGCCCATTTACCCAACTCTTACCCAATCTTTGTCTCCCGAGCCTGGCCACCATTGCCCTCGCCCCCTCCCCTCCCTCCCATTTGTGCATCTGTTCCGCCGCGGCCCATGTCTGGCGCCGCTCCATTTTTGACTCAGTGCCCCGACTCGGTGCTCCTGAATCGGCTCGCCGCAATGAGAGAAGTGGGATGCTGTTGCTGTTGCTGCTGTTGCTGCTGCTGCTACTGCTGCGACCTTGTGCGCAACTGATAAGCTATTTTTGCGCACCCTTGTGATGGCACAATTTCCAAAGTGATGTGACAATGTTCGGCATGGCTCGCATCGTGAATGAAGAAAATAGTTCTCAAGCCACAATCCGATTTCACACCTGGTACCTGGCCCACGGTCAACGTACCCAAAGGTCGGGCCCTATCACCTGCGCCATGACACGATTTTGTAACACCGAGGCACACACACATTATTGGAAACCATCACTCATCCACTCCCCCTTGTTCGGTGTTCCTGATAACTGGTGTCTAGGGTATCGGGTTCGTGGAGCCTTGGCATTTTTACAGACATGCAAAAGAAGTGCAGACCGAGCCAAGTAAGAGTGTCATGTCTTTTCATTTGCATGTCGACGCATTCCATTTTTTCAATGCTACATGCCAAAGCCCTGCTCGTCACCGCGACGGCCAAGTAGGACGCAAAAAAAAGAATGACCCAACCCGATGACTCCGAATGTAGCCTCCTCAGGACCGTGATCGAGATGCAGTCGTCTTCATTTATTTGGTCTCCTCCTCGTCGTCGCCCATGAGAGCGTTGCGCTTGGCAGTCTGCCTCTCCAACTTGCGCTCGCGGGCGGCCTTGGTCTTCGCGCGCTTGGCGTCCATCTCCTCCTTGAGGGCGGTCTCGCGGGCCTTCTCGGCCTTGGCACGGTGGATCTGTGCGAGCCGTGTCAGTCATCCGCTGTCCCATCTCGGATCGGTTGCTCCACGAAATACGTACGTGCTCGACAAGGGCGCGCTTGTGCTTGAAGGTGTTACCCTTGCTCAGGTGGTAGAGCTCGTGGTACAGGTGCTTGTCAATCTTGCCGTTGTTGCGGTACTTGACCAGGAGACGGCGGAGGACGCGGAGGCGGCGCATCCAGAGGACCTGGCTATTTCGGGGGTCAGAACCGACGTCCCTCTCGTGGCGTCTGACGACTTGTTCAGGGAGAGCACGAACCTGGGCATACGGGCGTCGGCGGTACCCTTCCTCTTACCGAAGCCACGGTGACGACCGATGCGACGGGCAAGGTTGAGCTCACGGGCGCGAGACCTGGAGTGCATGGTGACGGGCTTGCGGATGATGAGGCCATCGGAAACGAGCTTGCGGATTGACTGGCGGGAGTTGGCGTTGCTGATCTCGCTGACCTCGTTGGGGTCGAGCCAGATCTTGCGCTCACCGCAGCCGATGACCGACGCGGCCAGGCGCTTCTGAGTGCGGAGGTTGACCCTGTGTGCCACCGAACATTAGTATCAAGTCGTAGTTACGAATTTTTGTTCCCCTCTTCTTTTCCATATTGAGTCGCGGCCGGTGGAGTGGTGTGCTGGGAGAATTGAACGTCGTCGATCTTGGTTATGGGTGAGTAAAAATTGTCGTGGAAGTTGCTGGCTCCTTTCGTGTCGTCAAACTGGCCCCTCGCGGTGCCTTCTTGCACAGGGTCGAATCGTTGGCAGGTGTCGAAAATACATCTCGATCGAATCTCCCAGCATCGCACCCGTACCGCTGCTCAATCTCTCAATGAATCTCTCGTAGCCAACTTACATCTTGAATGCTGTCCTGGCGGATGGTCGTGCCCGGGTTAGTTGGTCGTTGAGAAAAGCTGAAGAGGGGAACGGAGGCGGGTGTCGAGTTCAGTTCAGATTTTCGAGACGTGCTTGTGGGTTGGGTGGAGCCCAGCCCGGGCGTGGCGGACGATTCGTCCCACTAAGCGAGGGCTCCTGCCGGATGATTCATGATGATAGTCACGTGATGAAGCCCATCAATTCGATTTGAAGGTCGTGTACCTGTTTAATGCATACCGAAGTCATCATCCCGTATCGATGCAGTTACATCAAGTACCTGAGATGGTAGGTCCCTGTTGAGTCCATTCTGCCGTGGGCCCTTCTCGCCTTCACTGTACTCGCTCATTTATCAGCCAACAGATCAGAGCAGCAAGTGACGCCAGAATCATTCACCAGGATACGATCACCTCCCCCGTCACGGATGCGTCCACGAGAAACAGCTGTTCCTTGTATTCTAATTTCTTTTTGTAATCAAATCGCAGGTGGCACCTATTTGCCGAAAATGTCCTCTCCCACATCTACCTTGCCCACGCTCCAAATCTCCTTTTCGTCTTCAACCTCATCATTGGACAATCCCAGTCCGCCCTGGCCGCCCTCCGCCTCTCTTCTCTCACGCACCTGAGCTCCTAGCCGGAGAGCCACACGCTTGAAGTAGTCCTGCATGCTCCTCTTTGCATTCGGCGCAAGACCAGCATTATCCACATACTTGTCAAATACCTTGCTTTCCTCGTCCGCCACGTTGAACAGACTGACGAAAGCAGCTTCCGCCGCCAGCTTAACGGGGATCACAGGGTCCCTCACGCTCGCAAACACAGGCGTGGCGAGCAGAGGCGTGTGCGGGCGTACCATGTCCATGTCAACGCGGCTCAAGGTGCGTGCAACCACCAGAGCCAGACGGCGGGAGTCGGTTGGCTGGCCAGGCTGGATGATGCCTGCCAGTGTCTCAAATATCTTCTTGTTGGCTTCAAACGTCTTGGGCGATTCCGAAAGCAAGTACTTGCCCGTGGCAAGGATGAAGTTGTCGGCGATGAAAGGCTGCCGATATAATTAGTGGGGTGCAAAAAGGCATCGTGTGCTTGTTTTCACTTACAGTCTTATTTGTCATACCGTGGCAGAGAACCTCAGGGAGGTCGTCGGCCAGCGGCCCGCCGAGCAAGCTTTCTGGTGACTCCACCAGCACCGCGTTCAGTGCCAGAACGGAGGACTTGCTGATTTGGTTTGTGATGACACGGTTTCTCAGAAGACCATGCGCGGCATCCTCGGGAACGTTCTTAATCAGGGCTCCCAGAAGCTTGGCGCTCGTGATGGTCATTGCAGAGTCCTTTTCGTCGCCTTCCGTATCAATGAGGCCCAGCACCGCGGCACGCGACGATTCGCCCATGTTCGCGCCGGCCTTGCTGATAACCTCGTACAAAGCGCTCAGCATGGCAGTCTTGACACCCGCATCAGATGTTTTCGATCCCGTTACAAGCTCGGCGATGAGGGGATCGATGCGAGGAGTATACTTGATCAGAGTCCCCAGAGCCTTGGCAGCGCGAGCTCGCAAGAGTTCACTGGTCGTGTCAGCCAGCGACTTGGCGAATGTGCGCTGAAGTTGAGGCAAGAAGGGCTTCAGCGCAATCGGCATCTTCTCCAACAGGTTGTTGAGAGTTAGGAGAATAGCAGCCTTGACTTCGGTGGACCTTTCAGACACCACACGAATGAGGGGTCCAGTAATCTGGGTGACGAACGGCTTGAGCGCCGTCTCACTGGCACGGTCTACAATGTCGGAAATAGCTAGAGCAGCTTGTGTGCGTTGCTCTGCTGTGCCATTCATCAGACCCTGCAAGAATATAGGCAGAACAGCATTGATGCCCTTTGGTAGCTCGAAGCCCTTCAAGCTTGCGCCAGGGACACCAACATGCTGCAAGGCCTGGCGTGTTGAGAACACGAGCGCCTCCATTTCCTCCTTCTTGAGCTTTCGCGTGAACTCGTTGAGTGCAGCCCACGAAGCCTTAACAACATCGATATCTCCATCGTCAAACGAGACAAGCAACGACCTGATAATATCTTGGTTGTATCGTGAATAATCGACCTCGCCAGCAGCAAAGAATTTGGCGAGATGATTTGCCGTCGCCTGGCGTCGCCGATGGTCTTCGTGTTTGGTGAGTTGCAGAAGCACATTCATCACCGTGTTCAATCCGTCATACTCGTCAATCGACAGAATGACAGTGTCGAAGGATGTCTCCAGATCAGCGCGTAGGTCATCCTCCTTGCAATTGACAATGTTATCCATAAGAGAGTTGATGATATTGGGCAGGCGCCTGTTCATGGCGGCACCAGCAACTCGGGACAGCGAGGCGAGCGCCTTGGCATCGAAAGCAGTAATGGGCGGTGTGATGAGTGTGGGGATTAAGTTGGGTAAGATGATGTTGGATCGCGTCGTCTCTGTCAGAAGAGTCAAGAGAGCAGACAGAGCATTGTCGGCCTCGTCTTCTGAGCGCAGAAGGTTGAGGAGGTAAGGAAGAACTTGGTCCACGGCCTTCTTACCCAGGATCTGCTGTAGAGAGTCGAAGGCCTCGGCAGCGGCTTCTCTGACCTCGGGGTCAGAGTCAGTGAGTGCTGTTCGGACGACCGAGATGAGAGTCTTTTCATGATCCTCCAAAGCCTCCTCGGATGCAGACGAGATGAGCTCCTTGAGAGCCAGACAGATGCCCTGCTTAGAGTCCGAGTCCGTCGAGGTCTGAAGTCCTTCTTCGAGAGTAGGCAGGAGCGTAGACAACACACCATCTCCGGCCTTGCGAATAAGCTCGCCAAGGGCGTTGCTTGCAATAACCTTGTGCTCCATGTTGGAGCTACCCAGGCGACGGATGATGAGTTGCGTGAGAGTCGGCACAAGTTCCTTGAGGGTGCGGGGGCTCGAGACAAGCGCCTTCCAGACACCAATGGCAGCAGAGCGAACGGCGTTGGCAGTATCGCAGCGGCAGACGTAGAGTGCAGAGAGAATCTTGTTGCGCTTCTCCTCGCCGAGCACTTCACGCAGAGAGGCGCCGGCTTCTCTGGCCATCTCCTCCTCCTCCTCGCCAGGTTCAGCGTTACCAGTGATGCCGGTGAGGTTGAATAGAAGGTCACCGACAAGTTCCACGGAGCTCAGACGGATACGGTAGCTGTCGTCAGCCAATCCGCGCTCGAGTTCAGGGAGCAAGAGGTCCACGGCCCTCATGGCAAAGTTCTTGACAAGCAAGCGGCCAGCGCGAAGCGCCGTCTCACGGATAGACTCAACATCATCGGCAAGACCAGCCAAGATGGGCGGGATGATACGCCCGAGATAGCTGGCGAAGCTGTTTCCGAAACATACGGGCAAGAAGATGAACAGAGACATGAAACCCTCACGAACGGCTGCCTTGGACGACTCCACGTTCTGGAGAATCGTGGGAAGCGTTTCCTCGAGCCTTGTCGTTCCAAGACCGGCAAGAACCTCGCTGAGAGCTTGCGCCGATCCCAGACGGTCGCCGGCTCCGGTGTCGGCCTTGAGGGTTTGCATGAGGCCTGGAATGAGGTCTGGCAGTGCCTCTTCGCCCAGCTTTTCCATCAGAGAACCCAGTGCCCTTGATGCCGTCGCACGCGTCGTCGGTACTGGATCCACGATAGCAAGCTTGAGGCCAGCAACTAAGATGGGCAGGTGAGAGATGAGGTCCTTCCGCTCGGTCAAGTGAGCCAGACTGCCAATGACCTGAGCAGCCTTGCGCTTGGTGTTTGACCTCTCGCCAAGACCTCGTTGAAGGATCCTTGTTACCAAAGCCAAGGATGGGGCGTCGAGGTAGTGAACGAACTGAACCTTGATCAGAGCATCGAGAGCGTCGTCTGTGTACTTGGTGGGGTCACTGAGGGCCTTCAGGAGGATGTCAACCAAGCCCTTGACCTCGGGGTTACTGATGACTTCGCCGAACCGCTTCAGACTCTTGTTTGCCCCCGATCTGACCTCCTTGTGACTGTCGTTAAGGACTGCGGTTAGGGGAGGGATGATATCGGGCAGGCTCAGAGCCAGTTGCTGGGGATCCAGATAGGCCATGGCACCGAGAAGGTCGCAAGCACCCTTCTTACTACGCCATTGCTGGTCGTCCAGACCACGGAGCAGCGTCGGAAGGATTTGCTTGACGCCATAGGAACTCAGCTTAGCAAAGCAAGCTTTGGCTGCAGCAAGACAAGCATCGCGGACATCTGCATTGCTGTCGCCGAAACCTGTCAGCAATTCAGGCACAATCTGAATCACATAAGGCTCAAAGATCCGGCCAAGCAGTGATGACAGAAGCTCCAACGCCATGAGGCCAGCTTCGCGTTGACTGGCTTCTTTCTTATTCTCAATTGCACCCTTGAGCGTGGTCATGATGCGATGATCCTTCAGGGTGGAGATGCCGCAACCCTGCACGAGACCAGCAAGTCCGTATGCAGCGCCTCGCTGCTCAGAATACTTTTTCGACGTAAGAAGCACGCCTAGGACCTGTTGAAAATATTTGGGAGTCTGGTCCCGGCATGCCTGAACCAGAGGGGGGAGACATTCGGCAATGGCGTATTGCACAGTCTCCGACGGCGTGCTTAAAGTGGCCAGCAGCCGCTCAACCACAATCGGGAGTTTGGCATCTCCCTTCTTAAGATGCTTCGCCAGCGCGCCGTACATGATAATGACGGCCTCACTGACGCGATCAGCGGCCTCAGTGCTCTTGTCCGGGCCTTCCAGGGTCTTCTCGAAAGCGGCCATCAGCCGGTCTATCATGCTCTTTCCGTGATAATCGATAGCGCCAATGGCGGCTTCCAACATCTCACTTCGAACTGCAGCGTTCTGGTCTCCCAGGGGCCCCTTCTGGATAAGGAAGTCGAAGAAGGGGTCTAGCTGTTGCTTCTTCATATGGGGACCCAGCTCCTTGAAGGCTGAACCAATGCCATGACGACCCTCCCAAGGGTCGGCAAGGTCAAGCTTCTTTGGCATGCCGTACTGATCGAGCTCCTGCTGGCGAGGCTTAGCAAGTTCGGCATATGTCTCTTCGAGCTTTTCAATCAGCGGTTCAATGACCTGCGGATGCACACTGCTAGCTTCGGCTAGTGATCGAGCTGCAGCGCGTCGCAGTTGACCATCCTTGCTAGACAGGTAGGGCAACATTTCGAAAGCTAGCTTCTCCGACACCTCGAAGCCTTCCGTCCAAATCTCTCTGCCAAGCTCGGCGTTCTCTTCAACGTCATCATGGCAAGCAAGCCAGATCTCTGTCGAAAAGGCAGCTTCGCTCATATCAACCTCAGCGCTGATAGACTGGAGAACGGTGGATCTCACAGAAACCTGTGGAACCAAGGAGCCACGAGCAAGTACTCCGATCTCTTCTGAAGCGATGTTCGGAGCTATACAGCGACAAGCGTCGGCGAAGCAATCCTTGATGATCTTAAAGTGTTGAGTGTACTGCTGCATTGCAGTGACCAAGACGGATAGCACTTGGCCTCGCGGTGTTGTCTGATCTTCGCAAACGTTTGTGTGGAAGCTAAGGAATTCAATTGCAAGGACAAGCTGGGTATCGCGATCATCAGGCGTCGACCCAAGACCACCACTCTCGAGAATGAAAAAGATGAGAGGGAGAGTGTAGGTAAGAGAGATGGCATCGAAAGGGCGCTGCTCGCCAGAAAATCGAAGACGATATAACACTCGTGTTACGAGCTCTTCGACCGGCTCTTGCATCTGGCTCTCGGGCAGGGATGTTACGCCCCGTGCACGAAGTGTAGCTACACCAACAAAAGGCCTGAAAGGACCCAATCTGCTCGATATCTTCTCAGAGCAGGCGAGATAAGCAGTAGATGCGGCTTCGCCGGTTAGCATGCTGGCTCCAGCGTCGATCACGCCGAGCAAGGCAGTAATTACGGGGCCCATCCACAAGGCTGCCTCTGTGGGAGGGCCTAAGGCAAGGCTCTGAATGATACCAATGCCCCTGAACAGCCTGGCTTCAAGCAGACGTATAGAGTGCCGGATGGCAGATTCTTTCTTCAGTTGAGCGTTGACGCGTGCCGTTTCCTCGGCAGTAAGCTTCTTCTGCTGCCCCTTTTTCTGTGCCAGCGACGAGCGAAGTTCAGCCTCCCATTTGAGAATATCGTAGTCCTTGTTGTTCTTGTCCGGGACGGCGTCTTGTGCCTTTTTGGCCAGCACGTCAACGAATGCTGTGCCCTCTGGTGTTCTGTAAATCGCAGCCTCCAAAGGTCCAATCTTCTTCAACTCCTCTACCTCAAGGTCCTGCTCAATGAGTTCAACAATGCGAGGCGTCATTGTCTCGGGTGCAACGAAGGCGAGCTCGGCGGCGGCGTTGCACGCAGCCTTTTTGACCAACGCGGAACTTTGTTCGGCGCCCGATTTGTTGCGGATTTCGTCGAGTAGATCGGCTTCGTACCGACGAGCCAGGTCACCAGGATCCTTCTCTACACGCAGACAGAGATCGATCCAGTTCGATCTTGGCAGAAGCTCTGGCCGTGCGAGCACAAACAGAGCGCAAAGCTGGCGCTCTAGATGCTGCTCTTCAGGGACTATTTCCCGCTCTTGCCAGTCTTTCGGAGACAGGCAAATAGCCCTGACCACGAGGTGAAGGCTGTTCCGCTCTGTTCGAGCTAACACAGCCGCAGTATCCTTTTCACCCGCATCTAACGCCTCGAGCCAGTGCCAGATGGCACCCACGATTGCTGTGGAAATCAACGCTGGTTGCGCGGCGTACAGGCTTGATAGGCTATCAAGGGCCAATTGTCGAATCTTGGGCGTGACAGCCGAGGCACATATCAGGTAGAGAAAGGCTTCTGACCAAGCAGTTTTGACATCGCTAGGGGTAGCCACGGTGAGGCCAGATGCGGCTGATGCAAGAGCGCGGGACATCCAAGTGAGCTCGTCCTCTGTAGCGATTTTGCCATAGACGCGAGGGTTGAGTAGGAAGGAAGGTTTCGGATCCAAAGTCACGGCCTGCTTGAGGATCGATGCTCTCGCGGTAGGCAGCTTGACGGCTCCAAAAAGCTTGCTACCAGAGGCAGAGCACAGAAGAGCCACGACGACGTAAGCGCCAATGGTGGCATTGTTTTGGGCAGCCAATTGTGGGTTCGCAACAACCTCATTGTGTGCATCCACGAGCTTAGGTAAGATGCCTTCGGCGAACTTGAGGGTGGACGACGATGTTGACTGGACTTTGGTTACGTCTCCAATGACCTCTCCAGCGCGAAGGATCCAGATCCTCCGAAGAGCAGGTTTCTTGTCTGCCGCACCCTTCATAAAGGCGTCAAGGACGGGCTTGGGCACGTCGAGATCCGACTGTAGAAGATGTGAGGTTGATCTGGCCAACGCCGCAGTCTCTGCTGCTACAGCTGCCTCGTTTCCTTCCTTCGCAGTCACCGTGGCGAGGGCCGTGGCGATCTTCTCAGCAACCGCATCAGATTGCGGGAGGGCCAATAGCATCTCGCAGTGTAAAATCCTGTGATCTGCAGACGCCAACTTTCCCCCCTTCAAAGGAGTAACGACCTCATCACAGGCCTTTTCCAAGGCCTTGCCATCGTGGCTCCTGGATGCGATAAGGTCGAAGGCGGCGACAGTGCTTGACCTGATGGCAGGGTTGCTGGATTTGACATTGGCCAAGATAGGCTTAAGCAAACGCTCGCTTAGGATTTGTGAGAGATCATGGGAAGGTGGGAGAGAGCGGACGAGAGGAGCCAGAACCTCCCAAACAATCTCAGGGGCTCTCAGCAGACCCTTCTCGACAGTTGGGATGACGTCTTTGGTGAGCTCGTCCAGTGTGACAAAATCGGAGAAGAAGTCACGCAAACCAGCAGCGACATGATCAGGCACGGCGACACGAGAGCCCACAACCTCTCTAGTGTAGAAGGCGAAGTAGGACGCCTTCAGGGTCTCCAAGACTGCGCCAGCGTCAGGCTTGCGAGAGGCGACCCCAGCGATGACACCGAGAAGGACGGCGTTCTTGGCGGTAGGCTGCGCAGCCTTGGCCGTGAGAAGTTCGACAGCCTCCTTCACGGTCTTCTCCAAGTCGGCGGTAGGGGCGAGCAACTTTCGCAAACCTCTCCGGGTCACGACAATGGCGGCGCGGGCCACAGTTCCTCGTCCTGCGGGTTGCTGGCATTTTTCGAGTGAGTCGGCATTGGCGAGCAGTATTTGAGGAGCAACCTGGGGCCAAGACGGCGTGCCTGACAGTTCCTGCATGAAGATGCTGCACCATTCGACCAGCACGAAAGCGCTGGTTATGGCAATGCCAGGCTTGACAGATTCGGCCCGCAGGATGGAGGCAAGTTTGGCTAGCAATTCGGGTTCCAGGCCGCTAGCCAGCAGGGCAGACAGGCATTTTTGCGCACCGAGACGGGACTGGCGGTCGACGTAAAAGGCATGTGTCCAGAACAGGAGCTGAAGAAGCTTGGGAACGAGGGGCAGGTCGAACTCTGCGAGGCACAGGTCAGGTCGAGGCTACGGAATCGCAACGAGGTCGATCGGTGGGCATTGTGGCAGGACGTACTCTTTTGGGTTATGCGTTCTTGTAGTGCGCGCAGCTGATCGACTCTGACTCTGGTGGAAGAGGAGGTCAGAGCTCCTTTGAGAGCCGCGAAGTCGACATTGGCAGAGCCAGAATCTGCGCCGTTGGCGACAGGCTCGGCTTCGACTTCGTTCATTGCGACGGCGTGTGAGATGGGACACAAGAGACGTCGGTCATCTGTGGCCGGCGCTTCAGTTGTCCTGTTGCGCCAGGGACAGAGACGCAGGCGGTTGGTAGGGTTTGAGGTGAGTTCGGTAGGGGCGTGCTTGCTGGTGGGATACTGGCAGAAGTCGAGTGTTTGAAATTCCAGCGATTATCGAAACCACTGCACACAAATGGAGCGAGTACACCTCGCACCCAAGCCTACCTTATTATTGCTACAAACTGCCTGGCCTAGGCATTTTAGGATTGGCTTGCCAGGGCGGAAATGGTGGGGTACAGCTTCGGCCAGCTGAAAGGAGCAGGCGGTCAGGATCTGGGACTTCGTTGGGAGTGCCCGCGTTATACCTAGGTAGGTACTGTACGGAAGGGCAGGTCAAGCCTGCCACCTAGGAAGGCTTGCAACTGCCTCGAGACCAAAATCCAAGCACCCTTCCACATCCTCCAGGTACCTATCCAAACTATCGTCCCATGTGTAGTGAGGTAGGTACATAGGTACATGGTCCAACACGCAAACTTGGGGTTCTTGTTCTTGCACACCAAATGAATTCGGTTCCCACAAGGGACTCAAACAAGCCGCACATAACTGGCTTCGAGACCATCTGTGCTCCCATGACAAGTCTTTTACGTTGAATTGATGCCCATAACACTAGCCTCAATTATGGGAGCTCGGGTTTGACAACGCATAGCATTTCCATCCCGTGGCAGTGGACGTCTTTATCATTGTAGCGTGCGTACCCAAGCAAGCCAAGTAGCGTCATGGATGCCCACATTTACTTACTGCTGCCCCACGTACCAACCCTCTTAGCGGGCTGTTGCGGGCAGGCAGGCTGGCAGGGAGGCACAAACGGGTAAGGGCAATCGGGCAACATCTCACTTCGCAGTCTCATCGTCAAGCAGAGCGAACCTGTACCAATTACGCACAACACGCGAGCCACCCCGTCCAGAATCTCAGCACTCTGTAGGGCCTGCCTCGCACTCATCCATCACGGAAAGAATCCTGCCGCAGGGTCTGCTGTCAGTCCCCTCGGCAGTTTCTCATCCTTCTTTGACGTCTGTTCTGAGGAATTTGGAACTCACATGATGGCCAACTTGTCCTGATGGAGATACTGTCCTAAGAATCAAGTTTTCATTGCAAAACACCCCCTCCTTGCTTATCTTTCTGTTCATCCCAGCTTTTTTCTTTCCGGTCTCAGACCGTAACTTCACCCTTCACTTGGGGCGTCAGCGGCGACAGTACCACCTGCAGCAGCAGCAGCAGCAGCAACAGCGAGCGTCGTTGCTTGACACATCCCAACTCTTGATCAAACTCGGACGACACATACGGACATCAACATCATGGCCAAGAAGAAGAAGCCCGCCAACAACCCCGCACGTGGTTTTGCGACGACATCCGTCGCCTCGAAACCTAGGCCCGAAGTCCTCGAAGGTGCTGAGATCGCCCCTGACGTTGCTTCCCAACCAAAGCATAACGCCAAGGGCGGTGCAGCTACAGCCTCGGGTGCCCAGACACCAGCTACAAACGCCGCAGGTGCTGCGGCCACCAGCGACTCTGCTGCCGAAAGCAAAGATCTGAGCCCAGAAGAGTTTGAGAGGCGACTTGAAGAGTCCGAGTTGCAGTTGATGGTAGAGAAGAATGCTGCAAAGACGAGGCGCGATGTCAACCGACAAAAGACTCGCCTGGAGACAGACCGTCGTCTGCTCAGAGGACAGGCAGAGACGATCAATGTACGCAAGTGGCTTCCCCAAGAGCTCATGGACCACATACTCGATCTCGTTCAGGCCGAGGGCCGTTTCGCCTCCTCGAACGTCTCTGCAGAGCACAGCACCAGCGGCAAGATGCCACCAGAAGAAGACATGGTCATTCGCCTTTGGGCACTGCAGCAGACACTTTCTTCCGTGGGCTTTCCCCAGGAACGCGTTCAGGCTGTCACACAGCACATTCTTGATATATCGCCCAATATCCCTGCCACAGCAAAGGACAGCATTTGGGGTCTTGAGGAAGCCATGGAGTGGCTTGCCCGAGAGTTGACGGCCGATGAGTTGCCTGATTACGAGGGTCGCGGCAAACCCAGCCTGAAGCCTACAGGTGGGCTCTGTCCTACCTGAACCCGGTGTATGTAGGATTGATTGCTGACCAGAATAGAAACGCCAGCCGACAGCCCGCTCACGTCAGGCACTACAACTCCGGGCTACTCCGAAGCTCCTTCCCGTCAAACCAAAGGAAAAAACGGAGGGCAAGCGCAGGCTCAAATATCTAGCAGAAAGGCTGCCATCACATGTGACAGCGATATAGAACCGGATGATTTAATTCCTGTATACATCGAAACCAAGTCAAAGCTCTTTTCAGCAGAACGGGCACAACAAGAGAGCAAACGATCGAAGCCATCCGTGCCCATAGATGAAGGAGTCATCCCGAGGCTGCAGGCGAAGCTGGAAAGGATCGAAAAGGATGTACTTTTCGACAGATATCCCGCTGAGCAGCAGTGGAAGGCTAAAAAGATGGCGCTGGAAAAAGAGCTCGCTGCAACGAGAAGACAGAAAGCCCAGGACGCAACCTCGGAGGCTACAGAGACAAGTCCCGAGCCAACTGAAGAGCCTCTCACCGGAGATGTCAATGATGAAGCTGAACGCATGGCCGCAGAGATCCTAGCCGAAGGTGCAGACGACGATGATGACAATGCACTGGCAGGTCTATTCGACAGCCTACCAACCAACGAAGTGGACGCGGACACTGGCAAAACGAATACAGTTGTCAATGGCCCCGACGGAGTCAAGGTCACTATTCGGTCATTCGGAACATGGACGGGCGTGAGCCCCATGAGGGCGTTGGAAGAAGCCTGCCGCGCCCGGGACTCATCCGTCAAACTCCAGTACCGTCTCATCTCGGAAGTACCATTTGCCAACCGCCACATGTTGAACATCAGTTGGAGCAAGACCCAGGCCATACCACCTGCATCCTCAGACGACACGGTGCATGTGTCTGCTTACGCCAAAGCCTTCACTTATAGCATGAGATCTGTAGCAGCTCCCGACAAGAAGCAGTCTGAAGCTTTCATTGCCACGTGGGCCCTATACCATATTTTTGGCCCCTCGCAAAAGGAAGAAAAGGTTGGACTACGTCTGCCTCCCGTCTGGAAAGAGCTCTGGACCGAGCTTGCCGAAGCACGCAAGAGCTCATTAGACGCCAAGGACCGAGAAGAAATCAAAATCCTTCGTGCCATGGTACGGCAGAGACAAGACCAAGAACTCGAGGACGGTGTGATACTCCCCTCTGCCTTTCGTGGACGCGGAGCGGCGCGAAACGCCGGGGAATTGACCGAGGGGGCCTCGGATCCAGCGAAAAGGAATCTCGGAGGGCCTGAATATTTCCAACAAATATGGGCCAAAAAGTCCAGTACACCTCGGTATCAAACTATGCTGCAATCTCGAATGCAGCTCCCTATGTGGCAGTTCCGTCAGCAAGTCGTGGATACAGTCGACCGCGAGCAAGTTGTCATCATCTGTGGTGAAACGGGTTGCGGTAAGAGCACGCAAGTTCCCTCGTTCCTGTTGGAGCATCAGCTGGCGCAAGGCAAGCCATGCAAAATATATTGTACCGAACCGCGCCGTATATCTGCGATATCGCTCGCACGCCGTGTGAGCGAGGAACTCGGAGAGGGCCGGGGTGATATTGGCACGCCAAGATCGCTCGTTGGCTATTCTATTCGCCTTGAAGCCAACACATCCAAGGAGACGAGGCTAGTGTTCGCCACGACGGGTATCGTTATGCGCATGCTTGAGGGCTCGAACGATCTTCGAGAAGTGACGCATTTGGTACTCGACGAGGTGCACGAAAGATCCATTGACAGCGACTTTCTTCTTATCGTGTTGAAAAAGCTCATGCTCCGACGAAAGGACTTGAAGGTAGTTCTCATGTCTGCTACGGTGGATGCCGAACGCTTTTCCAACTACCTCGGGAACGCCCCTGTTCTGACAGTTCCCGGTCGGACATTCCCTGTGCAAGTTCGCTACCTGGAAGATGCCATTGAACTCACAGGTTTCAGCACTGGTCAGGCGAATCAGGAGAAGATGGTTGATCTCGACGATGACGTGGAAACGGAAACGGAAGGTCCAAAGACGACTGTTGGGAGCGAATTGACCAAGTATTCTGCCAAGACAAGAAACACGCTGGCTCAGATGGACGAATATCGGATCGACTTCGACCTCATCGTCCAGCTCATTGCCAAGATCGCAGCCGATCCGTCGTACTCGCAATTCAGTAAGGCAATCTTGGTCTTCTTGCCAGGTATTGCAGAGATCAGGACAATCAACGACATGCTCCTTGGGGATCCTTCGTTCGCAAAAGACTGGCTCATATATCCTCTCCACTCCAGTATCGCAACAGAAGATCAGGAGGCTGCCTTCCTTGTCCCTCCGCCGGGCATCAGAAAGGTCGTCTTGGCTACAAACATCGCAGAGACAGGTATCACTATCCCGGACGTGACTTGCGTTATCGACACTGGGAAACATCGCGAGATGAGATTCGATGAGAGGCGGCAGCTCTCCCGTCTCATCGATACGTTCATCTCGCGCGCGAATGCGAAACAGCGAAGGGGCCGTGCCGGTCGTGTCCAAGAAGGCCTCTGTTTCCATATGTTCACCAACCATCGGCACGATGCGCTCCTCAGCGACCAACAGACCCCTGAGATGCTCCGCTTGTCCCTGCAGGACTTGGCGATTCGTGTCAAGATTTGCAAGATTGGAGGTATCGAAGAGACCCTGAGTGAGGCTCTGGATGCGCCTTCCGCAAAGAATATTCGACGTGCTGTCGACGCCTTGATCGATGTTCGAGCGCTAACCAATGCTGAAGAGCTAACGCCCCTGGGCCATCAACTCGCCAGGCTTCCTTTAGACGTGTTTCTTGGGAAACTCATTTTGTTGGGCACCGTGTTCAAGTGTCTGGATATGGCCATCACGGTTGCCGCTATATTGTCATCCAAATCCCCCTTCTCTGCTCCGTTCGGACAACGAGCGCAAGCTGACATGGTACGCATGGGCTTCCGACGTGGTGACTCCGATCTCTTGACTATTTACAATGCCTACCTGGCTTGGAGGCGAGTTTGTCAAACCACAAGTGCTTCTGGCGGAAAGGAGTTTCAGTTCTGCCGCAAGAACTTCCTCAGCCAACAGACACTTGCCAACATTGAGGACCTTAAGGGCCAGCTCATGGTCTCTCTTGTGGACTCGGGATTCTTGTCTTTGACCGATGACGAGCGACGCGCACTGAACCGTCTACGATACTCAAACAACTCACGCCGGCGTCATCAGCAGTTTTTTGAGATTCCACAGCGCGTCAACCTCAACAGTGAGAACGATGCAATCACTACAGCTGTCATTGCTTGGAGCTTCTACCCCAAACTCCTCGTGCGCGACACACCTGGTAGTCGTGGTCTGCGCAACGTGGGGAACAACCAGTCCATCAGCTTGCATCCCTCATCGGTCAATAAGGGTCACAACGAGATCAGGTGGCTGTCCTACTACCACATTATGCAGTCCAAGGCGTGAGTACCGCAGTCCCTCTAGACCATTTTTGCAGCAGCTGATTTTCTTTCCTTCAGTGTCTACCACGCGCACGAGACATCGGCAGCCGACGCCTTTGCTATCGCCCTGCTTTGTGGAGATGTCAAGGCGGACGTAAGTTGCTCCTCATCCACGCCTTTCTCGCGGCTGGCTGGCTTTATGTACTGTAGAGCAATCTGCTGACACCGACCCAGATGTTCGCGGGCGTCCTTGTCTTGGATGGGAATCGCGCAAGATTCGCGCTGCCGGACTGGAAGACAATGCTAGTGCTCAAGGTCCTGCGCACCCGGCTTAGGGAGGTGCTCACTCGCGCATTCAAACAGCCGGGCAAATTGCCTACGGCTCAACAGGAGCGCTGGCTCGAGGTGTGGCAGAAGATCTTCTCACAGGACGCCCACAAAGAAAACGGATCGACGGCGGTCACCAAGGCCTAGAACCTTTCTTCCGGGCGCAATGAAAGTAAAAAAGCAGATCCCCTGTAATTTGGCAATGAATGTAGCGATGCCGCAGCCCTGTGAAGTTTCTCGTATATACCCATGTTGGGTCTGAGTGATCGGCGTGTCAGTTGTGTCGCATATTAGCCGAAAGATCGAGATCAAGATGACAGATCACACGCGACACGTCAAATTGAGGTAAAGGCATAAGAATTGAAACTCGTTCTCGAGTTTCTTGGAAAGAGACCGGAAAAGTCCGGGCCTCTGGAAGGGAAGAGGGGCGTCAGCGTGTTCCCCCCTCCCCTCTCAGTGATGGATTCGAGTTATTGATACATGAAGGCAGCTTCCCCTCCCCCCCTTTCTGCCTGTTCTTTTCATCTCCTCCTCGGAGGTTGACAAGACCTCTTGACATGAAAAATTGTCCAACATGAAAAGAGGGATAAACGCCGTATTAGATGCTCACTATTCTTTCGTGGCCCTTTCACTCTTTCTTCTTGACGTCCTCATCTTCCTTTCCATTGGTCGTCGAGGAGATGCTGCCTCCGCCGAGGAACATGGCTTTAAACTCAGCGTTGCTCTTCATGGGCTTTGGCGGCGCGTCTCCCTTTTCCGTCGGCGGTGCAGACACAGCGGCGCCGTTCGCCTTGGCCGGCGCGGCTCCCTTGCTCGCCACGAACCCGAGGCCACGCTTTGCGCCGCCCTTGCCGAGGACAGGCCGTCTGACGGTCGACGGCGCGAACGAGGGCTTACTGCTACCCGCGGACGCCTTGGCGCCGTCCTTTTTGGCGCCGCCGCCACCATAGACAATCTTGTCCGTCCGCATCTCGCCCTTGGCGTGCCGAAGCTCGTCGACGGAACCGGTCCGGAGTTTCCGGCCGTCGAGAAGGTATCCGTCCAGCTGCAGCGCGGCGCGTCCCGCGCTCGCTGCGTCTTCAAACTCAATGCTCGCGCCGCCGTGGCTCGGCTGCAGAACGAGACCTGTAAAGCCGGCGATCTTGCCGACGATTTCCTTGACGCGTGCATCGTTTACCGTATCAGGAATGTCGAGCAGGGCAATGCTCCGCGCGGCGACTTCTTCCCGCGCTTGCGACTTTGATGAGTCGCCGTTCGCGTCTTCCATCGTCTCGTCACCCCCGTGGTCACGACTCGGCGCCGGTGAGGCCGAACTGCGCTCACCAGACACGGCGGCGGCGCGCTTGTAAATGACGGGCGTTGACAGTGCGACGGTCATGATCGAAGTGCGGAACTTGGTGCTGTTTAATTCCGCGACAGCCTTGTTGGCCTGCTCCTTGGACGCGAGCTCGATATAGGCAGTGCCGTAACCTTTACCTCCCTTGTTGCGCGGTATGCTCACTCGTTGAACGGGGCCGATCTTGGAGAAGACCTCTCTGAGTTCGTCTTCGGTGACGACTGGGTCCAGATTGGTGACGTGAAGCTCGCGACCCTCGTCTACTGCTCCGTCGCGCTTCTTGGCACGAGACGGGTCAGAGAACATGGCTGTCAGTTTATACTCGCCGTTCAAGAGCTTGCCGTGTTTCTGCGTGGCTTTTGTCGAGGCCTCCCGCGTCCTGAAGGTAACATAGCTGAAGCGTCGACGCACATTGCCCTTCAGGCTGGGCATGCGGACGCTGATGATGTCGCCACAGTCCTTGAACAGGTTGCGCAGGTAATCGGGGCCTGCCGTCGGAGGATAATTGGTGACAAAGACGGTCAGGTCGGTGCCGGGCTCGACTCCAATCTGAGCCTCGCCAAAGTACTTTCCATCGCGCAGCAGCGCCGACTGAGCCTCTTCGGGTGACCTGAATTCAATCACGACAACTTGGGACTCGCCATCCTTGTCGGCGACAGTCTGCAAGCTGTTGATGTGTCCGTAGTCTTTGAAGTATTGCCGGATCTTGGTCTGTGTGACGCTTGCTGGGATGTTGGTGACAAGGACAGATGTGTTTTCGCGGTCCCTTTTGAGACTCTGCTGCGTTGATGCAGAGTCGGCCTCGTTTCCATGATTTCGTTGACGCTTGTTGGATCCCTCACCCGGAAGCTCTTCCTCGTCTGCCTGCTCGTCTCCGCGCTTCCGCTTGGAGCCCGAAGGTGACTGATGATTCGCTTCCTCCGCGGCATGCGCTGCCTGTTGTTGCTGGAGCTGGGCGGCATAGAGCTCTGCCGCCTGAGCAGCCTCGAGCTCACGACGTCGGGCGGTCTCTTTTCGAAGCTCAGTCACGCTGTCGGTCGCGTTCCTCACGGTGCTGGGAAGCTCATAGTCGTTGCAGTGCTGGAGGTAAACATCCATGACCCTTTCGGGCCAGTCCAGCGTCTTACGCTTGACCGCACGACCCAGTACGGCTGTGGCTACGGAAGGAACCCGTAGGCCCACGGCAGCGGTAGAAGGCGTTGGGCTGCGGTCCTTTCCATTAGAGGCGAACACCATCATCTCCCATAGATAGTAGTTGAGCCAAAAGTCGTAGCTATCTGCGTAGAGCGACTTTTCCGCCAGCTTGTGCCACTGCGTCCTCGCGTCATCTGGCGAACGTTTCTTTTCCGTGAGATACTGGATGTAAATGCGTTCGAGGCGGAAGGCGGGATCGCCGCGGTACTCATCTCCGTAGCGGTTCTTGGCTTGGTCGACAAACTCGATGGCAGCCTGCAGGCCCATGTCGGCAATGTCGACGGCCTCGTCGGAGGCGTTTAGATCCATGGCAGTGCGCTTCAGGAAGCCACACCAGCCAGCGTACATGTCGAGGAGGGCGGTCATTCCATTCTTGTAGAGGTCGGGGTGGCTCGTAGCCTTGTGCTTGATCTGTTCAATATCATGGAAAGGAAGCCTAGCCTCCTCGGCGCTGAGGATGTAACGAGACCACAGCGCCCCCGACCACGGACAATGATCGACAGCGCGGCGAATGACGTCTAGCATGGCGTATGGGGATTGCGCAAAGGTCCCCGAGGTTGAGAGGAACCGAATGTACTCCATCCATACGTATTCATCGAATGTGAAGACGCCAGTCAGGGCGCGTGAGTAAAGACCGCGACACAGGTCGCCCGTCGTCTCCATGGTCTTGCTGCTCCTCTTGCTCTGCGAGATTTCCCAGTCTAGATATTCCTTCAGCAGGGTTTTGTACTCCTCATCGGCACCGTCGCGGGCGGCCTTGCGTAGCTTGGACTCGAAGATTTCGCGATCTTCGACGAGTTGCTTGGCTTCTTGAGACTTGGCCGTGACAGCCTGCATCGTGTCCTCCCAGGCGGATTTGTTATATGTGGAGAGGAAGGTGGAAAAGTCCTGCGCAGTCTGGTCGCGTGTGACGTGGGGTATTTGCAGACGGTCGGAGTAGAGGTGGGTGATACGCCTTACACCCTCGGCCGTCCTCGTGCGGTCGAGGAGGCCGCGCTCGAGGGAGATCCAGCGATCCCACAGCTCGTGGCTGTCGCTGATGCGGTACTGAATGGCTTCATAGCCTTGTTGCCAGAGGCTGAGGGCGGCATTCAGAGAAAAGATGTCGCGACTCATGTGCTGCTCCTCCTCGGACCAGCCGGTTTCGCCGGACTGACAGTCGACATAGAGCGACCAAAAGTGATCGCAATAGGCGCGCCAGATTTTGAGGCTGCTGGGTTCGGCATCGACGGCGAGCTTGAAGAGCTCGATGACGTGAACGTGTTTTTCGAGGTCATTCGCCTGACGGCTATGCTCGGCGACGTAGTCCACCCAGCGGTCTTCGCCGACGGGGAGGGGCGGCGCCATGCTGACGGTTGTGTCGCGCCGACAAGGGGCGGAGCATGGATGGAACGCAGGCGTCGAAGCACGCTGTCGCGAGAAGAGGTTGCGGTTCGATCGAGGCACAGCGTCTTAGGTAGTCGAGTCAAGCCAGAGCTGGGATGCTCAAGTCGCAGGTCCGGTTGTCGAGGTTAGCGTACGAGAGAGAACACGCCAGGATTTGGAGGGCGAAATGTCCAGCGGAAAGAGATGGTTGGAGGGTCCCGATTCGCGACTTGTCAAGAGATCCGTGTGTTGGGCGCTCGGAGGCTGTTGGGACGAGGCGCAAAACATAAAAAATGGCAAACCTGGTGCCTGATGAGGGTCGCGGGCAGGTCGGGTTGTCGGACAGCAACCAGAGAGAGAAATGGCCAGGGGAAAGAAGGACGGTTGACAGCGCAAGCCGATTGATTGGCAGGAAGTGGCAGGCTGACAAGGCTGGGTCGTGAGTGGTGAAGGGTTGAGCACCCAATGCCTGTGGATCAGGGGATGGTCTAGAGGCGGGCAGATTTTCCAACCCGTGTTTCTGAGGTGAGGTAGGTACAACTGTCTTGGTTTCTGATTGCCTGCCATGACCTGAAATCCCAGGTACCGGAGGCCTGCCTACCTGCCTACCTGGTACCTACATGTGCCTACCTAGGTAGGTACCTACATGTACCTACCTAGGTAAGGTACCTAGAGGCAACAGTGAGCAGGCACTGTCAGAAGGACCTCCCTCTGGTGGGTGGTTCCTTGGTGGGTCGGCCCTCTGTGCCGGCGCCGCCTGCTCTACATGTACTACAGTACCTCTCTGGAGGTGATGCCTCTAACCAGTCAGATCAACTGCTTGGGGGCAGTACCTTCCTTAGTCATCCACGCCAGCCGCGAAGGAGCAACCCATCTGAAGCCGCATGAATCGTCAGGTTCGACTCTCCATCGCCGACAAGAGGCCAAACATGACAGGAATGCCTAGTACGGCACAGAACATGACGCATCCCCTCTCTGATTCACAATCACCCCATCCCATCATGCCCGTCTCTGCCTTGAACGGCCCTTGAACCGCTGGGGGGCCCAGCTAACGCCGTGGGACTGCATTCGCTGTCCTTGACTGGCCGAGAAGCCCATTTGTCGCCATGGAGCCTGTCACTATGATGCTCTATGGTATCATCCAAGACGCTTCGACGAGCCAGCAGACCCGGAATGCGATCTACTAGATCATCTCGAACGCTGTGATGACTCTCAGCTCCAGATAGACGTGATGATACCTGTGATGTGCACCCTCGAGTTGAGCTTCATTCCACTGGTCATCGCTGAGAATACCGTGGCCTCCCGGAGCCAACTCCGTGGCACCGATGTCCCTGGATTGGAGCATCCAATGGTTCACCACCACTACATGCTCTCCCTTCTGCAGGTGCACCTAGCCCCCAGATAGCCTGCACGAAGACAGCTGAAGACCACGACGCGCCCCCGCATAAGTCCGCGTACCATGCGGTGATCAAGAAACGAGGGGGGGCCCGAAGCCCTGGTTTTGACCCCTTTCGTTCTCATTGCCGACAATCAGCTGCCACATTTCGTTGGTGTTGCCCCTTTCGTCTCCCTGAAACAGTCAATTGCCAAGGATGGCCACCATCGGTTTTCTTATGCTCGTCTTACGCTCGTCACAAGAACGACGATTCAGAGCCATGACTTGTCGAACGTGATGCGTGCGCTAAATTGTCCTGTAACGGGCGCGATGTACCAGTCAATCGACGTCAGGGAGCGCCCTCCCCCCCCCTTCTTGCGCTTCCCGGAGGCATGAACGATAAACGAAATGAGGTTGCCATGCAGCCGTGTTCCCGTCCGCTGTTACTAGAACTCCCGGCTCGGATTGATTAGATCAGGTTTGGCGCACTCCCAGACTGTTCAGGCTGCTGGGGGGCTTGGCCAGCCAGTGCCAGTCTGATCCGAGGGTCGACCCTGGCGCAGATCCCACGGTGTCCCTTGTAAGCTTCACCCTCACATCCCCCCCCCCTCTACTGCCGCCCTGCTCCTCAGGCATCGGAGAATCGTCTGGCGGTCGGACTTCGCATAGCCCTGGGTCTCTCGTGTCTGCCGACAAGAGGTGCGCTTGTCAACGAGCCGGTCAATGGTCGGGCTCCCATCATCAGACGATAAACGGTGCTCATTGTCGTGCCCATGCGCCACGGTATGCTCAGACCGCTTCTTGATCACACAAATGTCATTTCTTGGTCCGAACATGGCCAGAAAGCAGAGCACGCCGCACACAGCCTCCTCTGACTGCCTGGCACGGCATGTCCGCCCGTCAGAGATGCTCGCCAGGCCCGGGGCTGAAGGGGCCCTTGACCAGGCAAACCGTCAAACGTTTGATCGCCTGGACGGGACGATGATGTGGCTGGCTCGTATGGTCGGCTTGTCCGCCCTGGGACATACATCCCGCTGCATTCATCCGTTGCGCTGAAAAGGCTGTACCGCATCCACTTTTGCTGAGTGCGGATTCAACGAGCAGCGACCCCTCATCGCCGGCTGTCCGAATGACATGGCTTGACTTGACTGACGACGATCAGTGACGGGCTCGGTCTCGCTCGTCCCTTCCGTATTTCCTTCCACGGACGTCAGTCGAATGCCAGCCACGCCTTCTCCCCGCCCTCTTCCAAGTCACCAATTGCGCAGCGCCGGTTGTCCCTTCCCACCCCGTTCCCCCTCCCCCTTTGGTAGAGGTTGCCCTCGTCGACCAACCACTTGACCCTGGTTCGATCTGGATCTGAAGGAGCTAGTAACTAATCTGGCAGGAAGGCACATAAGGGTCCGGGGTAGGGACAGGGCACCAACACCAGGCAGGTAGGAGGTCTGCCAATTGCCTGGTATTAATTGCGCTGCCGATGTGCTACGTGATAGAAGCAAGAACTTAATGCGTGACAGTGGGCACTGGCCATGACAGCAGACGGAAGGGAGAGAACGTCTTGGGATCCTTCCAAATCGGTGTCCCCATTCCAAGCCTCCGCGCCTGACCGTCGACTAGGTATCATCCATGTTGTCCCACCCCTCTGTCGTCCGGGGCTCGTGCCATTGAAAAACCTCCCTGCCTCCCGCTTATCGACGCGGCCCTCATTCCATCCCTCGCCCAGCCCAGCCCGAGACTCAATTTTTCTTCGCATCGTGTCGGAATTCTTGAGAGGTCTTCAAGTTCTTCGTGCCCTCTTACCTTCTCTTCTTCGACGCTCGGTCCGTCTCCTTCTTCAAATACTTCTCTTTCGAGTGTGGCCTGCATCATACCTACGACGACTTACACCATCCGCGTGGCATACGCACATTTGCCTGGCCTAACCACCTACGTTGGGGCACACCAGTATATACGCCATATATTCCGAGTGACAAATCTTGTCGCGCCTGTCTAATCCAGACGTTTTCGGCCATTGAAGCTGGACTAAAGCATTCCGCTACCAAAGTTGTACAAATCACACTTTCATCTGCCGCTACCTCGTCCCGCAATACATCACGTAGAAGCGCGGTATAACCGGTCACTCGACTCTCAAATCTTTGACCAACGGAGCCAGATAATTTCCAACCGCTGTGCACCATGCACAAGTGTACAGCCGTGTAACAACTCCCGACACGCGCAACGCCGAAGAGCACCAACGTCTGCCCAGCGACTTAGTTGGAAGTTTATACGGAAACTCGGTTTCTGGCCTTACATTCAAGGGCAATTCCTTTCGATTCCCGCAATGCGTTCGCATACTGCTACGGTCCTTGCCGGCCTAGTGTTGCTGGCTGCTTTGGCCAGCGGACAAGATCTTGCGTCTTTGCCCCCCTGTGGTGTAAGTGACTCTTGGAGCCTGTTTCCTACGGGTCTACTCCCGCATCTTCCGAAATAAAATTACTGACGCAGTCTTACTGTAGCAAACTTGCGTCAATAGTGTGATTGCAAGTGGCCTATCTTGCGACTCGGGCGATACAAAATGTCTGTGCGCCAATGACAACTTCAAATTCGGCCTCAACGACTGCGGAAAGCAAGCCTGTGACGCGGCCGTCGCGCAACAACTTGTTGCGTATGCAGAGTCGCTCTGTGCCGGTAAGAATCGCCCAGGATGCAGCTCCAAATCTCAATGTTAACAGCATCCAGCAGCAACCCCTGGGCCGACGACAGCGGCTACTCCAGCTCCTGAGACCACGCCGTCTCCCCCACCTGAGCAACCATTGACATCGGCCACAGCCACGCCGTCGCCATCTCCAACCCCCGAGTCTGTCATCTCATCGACTACCACTCAACAGCAGTCGCCCACTCCGTCAACCGAAGAGCAAACTGTAGAAGGAGCAGCAACAACCTCTTCAGCGGCGACCTCAACGTCATCTGTCAGTAGTGCCTCTGCAATCACTGAGGCGCCGACGACGCTGGTACGTCTCAACGTTTCAACACCCATGTTGCTTCTCATGACTATGTACTGACCTGCTTTATAATAGGTGCAAAGTTTAACCCTCATTGTTGCCTCGCCCTCTGCTAAGACGGTGATTTCGGATTCGCCAACATCATCTTCAGAGCCGCCCGCTTTACCAACCAGCGCCAATGGAGATGATGAGAAATCAAGTAATGCTAGTGGTGTTGCAGACAATGAAAATGAAAGCACAGAGCCAGCAGCTGCAAGCGCTCTTTCGACCACAGCGAAGATTGGAATAGCCGTTGGTGCAGGTGTCGGAGGTCTCGGTATTCTGTTGGCTGTCTTCTTGATACTGCGACGACGACCAAGCAAGCGTGCGCTTCAGATTTCTGACCCAATGCCTGGCTCTGGACGAGACTATTCCGGTGGCATTCAATACATATCCGAGAAGAATCACTCGGAGCTCGAGATGAATTCGAGGAGGTATGAGGACATGGTTCCTCGTCAGACGCCACGTCATATGATTTAGCGACGAGCTTGTTACACGGCGATGGATGTTTACAATGTTTTCTTTGGTCGCCTCCCAGCATCCTCAAGCAAAAGATATCACAACCCGGCCTTGCCGTATGTACATGGGATGGCCGGTGTTGCAGTGTGGCGATGTGGTCTATATAGGCAGTACACGTTGTTAGCTATGATAATGAATTACGATACTGATTCCCCTCGAAATGTGTCTTCACGGGCAGGTGAAGGTGTTGAGCGATTGTGGGCGACTTTTATTCGCA